GCAGCAAAAAAGTCCAGCCGGCTGGATCGTGCACAGAGCCCCATATCCCATATGTGGTTCTAGGGTCAGGGAGGGCGGGTATTCAGGATGCGAGCAAGCGAAAGGTCGAGCAGGGATGGGAGAGCAGCAGCCGCGCGGTTGCCATTGCGCTGCTGCTGCGCTGACATCCTATTCACCTGGCGAAGTAGCTTGCCTTCTTTTCCGTAGCGGGCGACAGACCGATCCGAGAGCCAGTGCCCTCGCCGCTTTATGAGCTCAAGACTGCCTCGCTTCTCCAAAAAATCTACCGACGGGCCGCCATGGCGAACGGTGTGTGGACACAGGCGGAGAGACTGCAACGACAGCGCCTGAGAACCGCGGCGAAAGAGAGCCTCGTACGTCGGCAAATCCAGACCTGCAAAAAGCGAGCTTAGCTTCAGCCGCTTAGCTCGGGCGATGAGACGTTCTAGCACGGTCCTGATCCAGGCGCGCTCCGGGCTCATCCCACCCGCGATCACTGTGTCATCGTACTGCTGGTTTTTGGCTGGTTTGCGCCCTAGACCGCTAGGCGCCATGATGACGGCGAGCTGGTTGTAGCGGCGGTTGGCGGCACTGGAGCCCGAGACGATGTGGTCCAGCGTCAGGGACAGCGTAGCGGAGGGCCGCCCGTAGACGTCGAACTGCACCACGGCGCACGCAGCGGCCAGGACGCCAGCGAGGTCCCCGAGCCCGATGAACCAGGTGGCCAGCAGCGCGAGCGCCTCCCACGGGCAGGGATCGCGACTGGACTCGGGTGCACGCTTAAGCCAGCCAGCGAGCGCCTTCACGGCGTGCGGGAAGGTGTCCTTGGGCCGCGGGAACCGGTGGACGTGTGCAAACCCGTACAGGGCCTGCCGCCCCTCCCACGGCTCGCATCCATCCAGGTAAAGGTAATCGAAGTACGCCGAAAGCGAGAGGTCGACAGCGGCTGGGGAGGCTGGGTCGGCGCAGCGATTGGCCTCGGAGGCCCACTCCACGAAAGAGGCCTCCGAGAGACGATACTGCCTTGCCACTGCCGCCGACGCGGTGGACCGCTCCAGGTAGCCGTCGCCTGGGGTTTCACCCGCGACTCGACGTCTGGCAGCCCTGCGCAGTGCACGACGCCGCTCCACACCCACACGAGACGCTTCGAGGGCGGTCTCGACCTCGTCGCGGCCCGATCCAGCGGCGCTCGCCGCCCCAGGTGCTGGCGGCGCGGCCCCACGGCGACTGGAAGGCGCGCGGGCAGCGTGGGATCCACGGCTCGGCGGGGAGCGGCTTCTTGGTGGCTCCTGCCATGAGAGACTCCCACCACTCCAGATCAGAGGCATGTAGGGCACTCGCTGGCGCGATCCTCCTCAAAATTTGAGCATAGGCCCTGCATAGACGGGGAGGGTACAGCCCAGCCAACGTGGTCTTCCAGGCCCAAGTCGACTTCCCATTGACGGCGATCTTTACTTTCCCAGACAAGTGTTCATGATAATGATTTCCAGGACACAACCGACTTAACTGTTTCATTTCGGGGATGTTGGTAGCGATACAGGTCGGCTTCATGTAGTTAGCTCCATAGGCGCAGTTATCATATCGAACGAAGTGGGCTCCAGCACGATCGAGCTCACGACGAATAGGCTCCCAACGAAACAATCCCGACGATCTCGGATTTTCGAGTGTGAACAGCACCCCGTGTTGACGACACAGCCTGAGAAGGGCTCTAGTAAAGGTAGCCAACGACGTACCCCAGTTGGTCGACGAAGTCCCAGTACGACGAGCCACACTCCAGACGGTGCAGGGGGTAGCAAGATGGAGGGCCCAGACTCTTCCACGACGGATCTGGTTTTTCAAGAGACGTTGAAGCCGTCGATCTCCTAGATCATGATGAGGGCCTCGACGGATCTCGATGGGCATCCCGATTCCCAGACCCTCGTCGCTCACAGCAGCCGAAAGTGTAGCATGCCCAGCAAACACTTCGAGGAAGACGGGCTGAGATCGACGACGAGCAGATGCAACATGGCTGGCTTCCTTTTCGGGACTGGAACTGGCACGCTCTCCACTGGCGGGCGACAGGCGGGGCCCACACCGCCCCAGCCGGCGGCTGGTGATGGGCGGGGCGGCCACGGCGCGCACTCGGCGGCTCGGCGCTGCCCGAGCTGGCGCCACCGCGGAGCCGCGGCCACTGCGCAAAAGAGCTCGCCCAGCTCGTCCGAGCTGAGCCTCACCAGCGCCGACCTCTCCGCGGTCGGCAGCACGCGAATCCTCGTCAGTGGGGTTCCTCTTGGTCTCCAGGTAGCGTTGGGTCCAAATCAGGCCACGCGCAATTGTCAAAGCCCCGGCCCTCTGACAGAGACGATGGAGGCAGTACGACTTCGCCCTGCCCTTCTCGAAGCTGCAGATGCAGGCCAGGTTGTCGCCGATGCTGAGCAGCCGACGTCCGTGGAATCGAACCTCACGACTGGCTCGGACAAGGCCCATCAGCATCACGCGGCCCTCCTTCTCGTGGATCGCG